AGCAGCAGCCAATATGACAGGATTTGAAGCTGCATGGCATCTCACCCCGCCACCTTCAACTCACACCAACCCTTTCTTAACACCAGTAGCAAAGCAGAATGCAGTGTGTAGCGAGTTTAAGCAGTTTCAGTACTCAGATTGTGAAGGCCCTAGAAATATTACATCTACACCACTTACAGTGGGACAGCATGGCACACATGATCACCTTTCTTGGATTATTACATCCCCCTCATGCAGCCAGCCATTCACTGCCATGAACTGTACCTGCAATGTCCCTATAAAACCACAGTTTACTGAGCCAGCGACGCTACATATTATGCCAGGTACACCCCAACCTGCCCAATTCAGCTAAGAAATGCCAGCTCAGGGCTACTTTTCCTTGACACCTCGCATGGTAACACCACCACCAGCAGGGGTGTGTGGGCTTTGTAAGCATGGCCATGACCACAGTTCAAAACAAGCCATGCCAGGGCCACCAGCACTTGGAGAAGCACCAAGTGCTGGTGGCTCACACAGTTGTGCAGCCTCGCAAACCCTCTAGCATCCCGATCAGAGTCTTTAACCCTAGGGCTACAGCTGTTACCTTAAAGTGGAGTGCAGTGGCTGGGGTTCTTCAGCCTGTGAAAGTCCTGGAGGGGTCAGGGAATCACCCACCAAGGGTCTTGGCAGTCCTCGAGATTGATAGCACTGCCCCTGCTCCTGTCCCAAGCCATTGGCAGACCCTGTATGCTGAGAGCAGCCCCGGTTTCACACACGTTGCCCATTGCGGACTGGCAGGCCTGCTGAGGTCCTATGGTGATGTCTTCTCCACTGGCCCAAATGACCTTGGTCGCATCAGTGTCATCCAGCATCACATCTTGACCATGCCAGGGCCACCAGTTAAGCACTCGCCATGCAGGATGGCAGGAGACAAACAAATAGCGGCCGAATAGCAAGTACAGCAGAGCCTGCAGGCTGGGTCAGCTCAGCATAGCAATAGCAGCTGGGCTGTTCCAATTGTGATGGTGAAAAAGAAAGATCAGAGTCCCCGACTGTGTGTGGACTATAGACCACTAAATGAGCGAACTCGCTTAACCCCTGCCACGCATCCAGGATACCCTTGACACGGTTTCTACTGCCAAGTACTTCAGTACACTAGACCTGACATCAGGATACTGGCAGGTAGAGATGGCCTCCAAAGCCCGAAAAGATAAGATACCTTTACGGGTACAAAAAGCAGCTGCATTTTGTACCCGTAAGGGATTGTTCTAGTGGAATGTGATGCCTTTTAGGCTATGCAATGCACCGGACACATTCCAAAGGCTTATGGACAGAGTCCTGGCTGGGGTGCAGTGGGAGACGTGTTTAATGTACCTTGATGACATCATTGTCCTGGGTCAGGTTAGCACCCAGATGCTGGATCGGCTCGAGCAAGCGTTCATCAGATTGCGTGGAGCCAACCTAAAACTGAAGCCATCTAAATGCTGCCTGTTCCGGGAGCAGGTTGCCTATCTGGGCCAAATCATCTCTGCTGGAGGTATTTCCACAGATTCCCAGAAAGTTCAACAAGTGACGGAATGGCCTGCACAGCGGGCCTGCACAGCGGGCCTGCACAACGGACTGTCACAGCGGCAGTACAGCAGCCCCTGTCCTGGGTTACCCTCTGGACCAGGGTGACTTGTTCCTCGACACTGATGCCAGTGATTGTTGGATCGGAGCAATCCTTTTCCAAGTGCCAGGGGGCAAAGAGCAGATCCTGACTTATTGGAGCAGGTGGCTGTCAGCAACCGAACAAAACTACTGCACGACCAGGCGAGAGGTTCTAGTAGTTGTGGCATTCACTTCCCACTTCAGACAGTATCTGCTGGGTAGGCCATTCACTGTCCAGACTGACCATAGCAGCCTTTGCT